TTGTGTGCTTCTATCTAGTTGTTTTAAGGACTTTGTTATGAAAGTTCTGAATGTTTGTTTTAGTGTCCTTTGCAGTGGATTTATTTTTGCCTTTCCTGTGCTGAGCTTCCTAATGATGTTTCCTGATTCTCAGGATTTCTTCTTCCGTCATTTCTGAAAAGGATCTTGACCATGATCACTTTGTGTTGTCTTCCTTTCTTTGTGTTACTCTTCAGGAACCTCAGTTGTTTATGTCCTACTGTCATATTGTGTCCTCATTTCCAATAATCCCCCCTCATACTTCCCATCTAGGGATCCCTCTGATTTCTATATGTAGGTACTTCCTTAGCTGCATCCTGCGGGTCACACATTTTCTTTTCATCTGTGACAAATGTCATGTTTAACTCATCCCACATTTTTAAAATAATTTCCAGAATGTTATTTTTCATTTCTAAAACTACCACTTTTAGGTAATCTTCGTCTTTCTTGGTAGTGTTTTACGGTTTCCCATTCTTGATCATTTTAAACATTCTTATTTACCACCCCTACAGCTCTGTTACATCAATTGATCTTTGAAGCTAAAACTTAAGAGTTTACTATGTTTGCAGAAGCTAACTAAGGGGTACATGATTTGAAGTTTACTTTTTTTTTTTTATTTTCGTAATGTTTCTTTATTTTTGGAGAGAGAATAAGTGAGACACAGAGTGTGAGCAGGAAGGGTCAGAGAGAGCGGGAGACTCAAAATCCGAAGCAGGCTCGAACACACAAACTGGGAGATCATGACCTAAGCCGAAATCAGTGGCCAAACCAACTGAGCCACCCAAGAGCCCCTGTTTTGTAGTTTTCGATTGTGAGCTCCATTTAGCAAGTCATTCAGTAGAGAAGATGGTTTAACGTCAAAAACTCAGGATCCGTGGCTCTTGTCTATTTTCTGTGGTAAGGTATTACTAGAAGACTACAAACGATGGTTTCACGTTATATTAATTTGTAACTTATAAGCTTCAGTGACGCCAAAACAGTTGTGGGTACTGTGCCTTAGATTTCCTTCTTCCCTCGATAAATGATGTTTTTCCTGAAATGAATGCACACAATTCCTCTGTCCTGCCTACGAGTGAAAAAATGATTAGGATGAATTTCTACTAAGGGTACAGAAACAGACACCCAGACTCCCAAATAAGAGAGGAGGGCAAGATGATAACTGGACCCAATGGGTACCTTTTCCCCCATTGGCGGAGCAGACATGCTGAGCTGGACCTCTACAAATCTGTTCAAACTCTCACTGCCCTGAATGCTTAGACTTGAAGTGCATTTTCTTTCTCCTTAGCAGCACAAGAGCGACGGTAGAAGGACGAGTTGCCGGATAAATACTCCACTTCAGAGGGTGCGTGTTTTGACTCAGAGAGCACAGGGGTGTCTTCCCAAAAGGACTCAGGAGGAAGATCATTGATGGGTGACTTGGAGATTCCTAGAACATGATAGAAATGTCCTAAAACTAGCTGGTTCCATTCTGTTCCTCTCCTACACACTTCTCCCTAACCGACTCTCCCCACTGCAACCCCACACTCAACCCAGAGAAATCCTGATTTTGTCCTAAACAGTTGTCCTTAGCTTGGGCAGGAAACTGGCCTATTTCACAATTATGTTCTTTCATCTGGATCCTGCTCCTAGCGCTCCTCATATCCATTCACCTGCTTAGGATTTTTGCTACCATTTACCTTCCTTCCCACTTGATGCACGTTGACCCTCTGCACTCTACATCCTAGAGATTTATAACCTCATAGGAAACAACTGATGGGTTTTGAGTTTTGAAGTCCATACTCTTTCTTATCACACCAGTGTCTCTGTTTCAAAGTTAACCAAGCTCATGGCTCACTAATTGTTTAAGATTAGGATCATCTCTAGGGCGCCTTGGTGGCTCAGTCAGTTATGCATCCGATTCGGATCAGGTCATGATCTCACGGGTTGTGAGTTCGAGCACCGCATCAGGCTCTGTGCCGATGCCTCAGAGCCTGGAGACAGCTTCTGTTTCTGTGTCTCCTGCCCCTCCCTGGCTTGCGCTCTGTCTCTCTCTCGCAAAATTAAAGAAACATAACAAAATGATGACCGTCTCTTAAGGATGCGTCTGGTACGTGTATTTTACACATATTGTAGCAAGCTGTGGTGATGGATGCAATGAGATTGGTGTGCATAAGTACCTTAACATGATGCTTCAAACAGGATAGAGGCTTAGTCTATGATTGATTTTGTGTTTTTGAATCTGAATATGGGGTGAATTGTGGGTGAGTGAGAATGGTAAGTATGCTTTGTGTCTGTTTCAGTTCAGCTAATACTCATGTGTGTAGACTGCATGTCCCATGATTACAGATTTGAGTGTGTATATGTTGTTATGATTTAGGTGTCCAAGGTAATTATTAGGCATATTCTCCTTAAGACTAACAGAATTAGTGTCTTTGTGAAATCTAAGGAAGATCATTGGAGGTTGCAACAATAAAAAACTTTAGGAGAAAGAGAATATTAGCTTCGAGATCCAAAGCAAACGGGGGTACAGCCCGGATGTGAAAGGGGAAGGGTACAGTGACATGCGACTGCGTTAGAACATATAGGTATACAAGACTGAGGTCTAAGGGATGAAGATCAACTCTGAAAACTACCAGCTAGCCACTGAACTCAAGCATGTGCCAAACGGAAATCAGTCCAGATAGCAAAAGACACGCAATCAAATATCTAGAACATCCCTTTTCAGAGTAGCCCCATATTCAAAGCAACCCAAGTACTCAGCAATGTATAATCAATAAAGAAATGATTGACATTCATCAAATCTGTGTGTATAAAATAAAGTGCACACAGAACACAGATTAATCAATCGAATGATGAGTGATTGTAATTAGACACAGACTACAGATGTTGCACTCCTATTGACATGGAATGTTATAAAAAAGGGATAACTGATGTAGGGTTTTAGAAGTCAGAGAAACTATCACTGCTTGTATGGTAGGGACAAAAAGATGGCCTAGAGAATGTCCATGCCTGTGGAAAATTATAAGGAAATGAATGATGAGGGGAAAGAGGGATCAGAGTGAGAACACTGGCTAGAACTCTCCAAGAAAGGGATGGGTCTTGGGCTGGATGTCTTTGAACTCTACCTCAAGTCCAGATCTCGACTTGATCCTCCTTCTCTGGGCCTGTTCCAAGCTATGAGCGATTTCCTACCTTCCTGGTAACAAAACTGCTTTGGATAGTTCATCCCGACCCACTCTTCCACATTTGACTAGTCAAATTCTCATACCCAGACACTCTCCCACACATGTCCTCCAATAAAGCACCTATCTCCACTGATCTTTTGGGGCCTAGTATTCTAGTCCTTTTAAGTATTTTTCCCTTGCAACTGATGGCTTCCACCGTTGATCATGGAAGAAGAGGAAGACCCATTTAGAGTTTCATTCTATACCGGGCAGCCTTGCATCATCTAATGGCAGAATCACCCAGTGGATCCCTGGCCTCTGCCTAGAACCCAATGTGTTCAACACACTCTACGTACCAGCAGCAACGACTTTGTTTTCTGAAGACTTGCCGGAGAAGCGATCTGAAGAAGAATCTCCCCTTGCCGTCTGGTCTTGAGTTGGGGGCATTCCCTGGTGTCCATGTTGCAGAAGTTGCAAATTCAGGTTTGATGAGAAATTACCTACAAATGACAGAGATGTGGTCCAGGTTGGGTGTCTGTCCATTTATCCATCCATGAAACAAACCAGAGGAGTCTACTACGTGACATGTTTTGCGAACAAATAAGGCCTGCATTTTCATGGAGAGCACACTATGATTGTTCATTGATAGCATTTATATCATGATTAACAACTGGCTTTGTAGAAGGGGGCTCTTTGTAAATGGAGCAGAGACGGCAAGCTGTGTCCTCTTAACCTGGACCATCCAGTAGAGTAGATTGATCTACTTCTCTTGGGGTAGTTCTGACCATGCGAGGATGTTTTCGACAACGGAAATGAGCGGATAGGACACGTGCCACTTCCCTAGCCAGAACTATAAAGACCTCCTCTGTGTCCCTCTGCGCTCTTTCCTTCCCTAGCTGATGGGAATGTTGACAACCCAGGGTCTAGTTGAACGCTGCATGTGAATGACAACACAGGTTCCATCAGCCCAGGAGGCCTGACCCATTCCTTCTCATATACGCTGAAGTATGAAAGAAGCAAGAAATTGATGCCTTTGTGTAGGAGTCCCAAAAGACCAAAGGACTCTAACCCATGAAGCAGAGATCGAACGTGTTCTTCAGAGCAAATAATTGCACCTGGCACACAGCAAGTGAACCAGTTTATACTGATATGTACCTTTGGCTGGTTTATGTACATTCTACATGTGTGTATATGTGAACACATGATTGTGAGTGCATGCTTGACAGCTCTCATAGTTCCCACTTAATAACATCTCTCATCATGCGCTCATGTTGTTGTCGGTAGACCTGCAGACAGACTCCTTGTCTAGCCCTCTCTCCCCACAGATGCCCAACACTGTTGGCAAGTGCCATATTCTTTCCCGAGGAGGAGCTACCCCTTGGAACTTACGGGCGGTGGCTCTCATCTGTCCTCCTAGAGCCCCCTCCCCGGAGCAATGGTCTTCCCTCACAGAAGCTGCTTGTTTACTATGAATCTCCACAGAAACCAGAACGAGTTCAGTTTCCCATCTTTTTCAAAAAATCACAAACATCTTCTACAGTTCAAAGAGGTTACCTATTTACTGTTCATCTCCATAGGAACCAGAACTATTTCAGTTTCCCATGAAAACACACACACACACAAACACACACACACACACAACGTTTTCCACAGTTGAACCACAGTGCTGTGTGTCTTCTGCCTTTTTCTTGCGTGTCACAAAGGAGCCCTCCATTTTCATTTTCCTAGTCTGAGGTCGGAATACATAAATTCCGACTTCATATACTCATCCCTGTACAACCAGTTTTCAGTGACAGATTGGTTGCCTCACCTCTATGAGCCACATTTTCTTCTCCATCAATAGGATAAAAGACGATTAGAAGACTCCAAGTAAGATCCTGTACTTACCCATTGTCCTTAGGGAAAAACCAAACAAAGAAAAAATCCTTTTCTTAAGAAGAACTGCACTACTCATCCACTATGCCTGTGTCACAGTGAGTGACATGGTATAAGTAGTACAGGTCCCCAGCTGCAGAGTCAAGGACTTGGTCATCTGAACTCTGTTTCCTCTGAGATGACATGTTACTTCAGAAAATTCAGCATCTATACATCCCTCCCCCAGCCGTCCATCCTCCTCGACCTTAACACAGCTAGGGATCCTCTCACCCTCTTTCGTGTTTTCCAGTTGATTTCCTTGTAGGAAAAGAGAGAAAGAGGTGGAGGGGGAGATAGAGAGAATCCCAAGAATCCTCAGCACTGTTAGCACATGCCCGGCATGGGGCTCGAATTCATGAACCGCGAGATGATGACCTGAGCCCAAATCAAGAGATGGACACCTCACCAACTGAGCCACCCAGGTGCCCCTATCCCTTATCCATGATACCAAATGCTCAGGAAGATGCTTAACACTTACCTCTTGACTTCTTGACACTTTGGGTGGAGTATGTGCTTTCCAAATGTTTCCTTTTTTGTTTTCGCTTCATGGTGCCCCTCTTCGGAGGGACTCCGGTCAATATCTTTCTCTCTGAAATTCTGTTCTCAGAGAATCAGTACAGAATAGCAAAGAGTCAAATCAGTACGTTTAAGAACAGCAACCCACTGGTGAAGTTACGGCCTCACTGAATCACTCTCCTGACCAGCGCTCAGGATACCAGTAGGCCTATTATGATGGAAGCCAGCATCAGTGTTCTGTGACCTATGGATTACATCACTGCGCCCCAGGGACCCAGCTGGTCCTCACAGGACTGAAGGAGTGCCAATCCCCACTCACTCGAGGGATTGCTTTCGCCCATTGGAAACCCTGTCATTGACTTGAATTTGTGTACCTTGCACAGGATGGCAAAACTAGAGATGACTTGAATCCAATAAAGTACATCCTTTGATGGGTCACAGGAACCACATTACTAAATCTCCACCGGGGAAGAGAAAATAGTACCTTAGAGAGCTAGCCCTGAATGGTAGAAGAGAGTTGACGTTAGATCATGTCAACAGCACTCTTTAACTGATGTGAAACAGTTCCACGTGAAGCATACATGGGTATATAAGTGTGGATTTGAGGACAATACATACTTCTAGACAACCCTAAAATACAAGGACTTTCCCCCACTACTGGGAACAGTCTCATGTAAGTTTACAACAAGCCACTGTGTTGTTTGCTACTCTTTTCCTAATCAGATGCCCCAGAGGTTTGGGGAAAGGAAAACCCTTGGATTCCGCGGACATTCCTGGACCTCAAAATGAAGCTTGTTCTGCTCAAGCATGAAGGTCTCATTCTACAGGCTTCTGTTCCAGGCCCCAGTCTGTGTCCTCTGGAAACAGCTGGGCTCTTTCCAGGGTTTTCACTCTGTGTTCAGCTCCATCCTGTCTCTCATCAACCATGGCATAGACTCCTTCCATTAAGGGAAATCAGTATTTACCTCCACGTCAACAGCTGGGCCTGACCCAGGCCATAAATTATGGCCTCCCTCAGTCTTCTGTAACCCCAGTAGGTGCTGCCTCTGCACATTCCCCTCACTTACCAGGGGCTCACCTCTTATAGCCACTGAATGGCAGGCACATTGATCAAGACATGCTCAGCCTTGGAAGCTATCAGAAAAGGTGAAAGGAAAAATTAGATACTATTTTACATGTATCACATTATTAAAAACATAGGTCAAACCATACAAATGAGTATTAAGATCGGGGGGGAAGGCATCCTCATGATCGAAAATGACTTAAGTAGCCCCATCAGGAACAATTAGCCAACATTTTGTAAAATGAAATAAGCATAGAATTCATGAGCCTATAATTTCATTCCAGAAAGAGGTCATTACAAGAGTGATACGCATGGTGTTATTTATACTAGCAGGGAGATGTAATTTTAGGTTAGCTTAGTTACCATCTCAAGAGGAAAGGGCCAGCAAAGTATGATAGGAGCATACAACAAAACTCATTTCCCAGGGTTGAAGTCTTACCCCTTAAAAATCTGTGACTGCACGCAAGAATGTCAGGAAGTGACTGGTGATCAGAGATAAAAATAAAATAGAATGCAATGAAATAATCACAAGTAGTTCCTTGAACAGGCTGTGACTTCGGAGAATTACAAACTGTACCGTCAGTACATTTTGGAAGGAAAAAAATAAAAGAATACTTGCACCTAAAAGTAAGACGTTTCAGATTATGTCTAGATCCCATTGAAAAGAATACATTGTGCTGAAGATCCTTTACTGTATTAGTTTCCTTTTCTGGTATAGCAAATGACCACAAACCTAAGGGCTTAAAATACAAATATATGATCTTACAATTCTGGAGGTCAGGAGTTCAACATGGGCCTTACAACTTCAAATCAAGTTTTTATTTATGTTTTATTTATTTCTAGGAGAGAGAGAGAGACAGCGTGACCAGGGGAGGGTCAGAGAGAGAGGGAGTCAGAGCCTGAAACAGCCTCCAGGCTCTGAGTCAGCACAGAGCCCGACGCAGGGCTCGAACCCATGAACCGCGAGATCATGACCCAAGCGAAAGTCGGACGCTTAACCGACTAAGCCACCCAGGCGCCCCCAAATCAAGGTTTTGACAAGATCGGTTTCTTATGGAGGCTCAAGGGGAGATTCTGCTCTCTCTGTTTTACTAAGCTCACAGTTTGCCTGAATTCTTCGCATCCAGCTCCCCCCCTTCCTCTTCAATTTTTTAAAATAATTTTATTTATTTCTAGGAGAGAGAGAGACAGCGTGAGCAGGGGAGGGTCAGAGAGAGAGGGAGTCACAGACTCTGAAACAGGCTCCAGGCTCCGAGCTGGCAGTCAGCACAGAGCCCGACGCGGGGCTCGAACCCACGAACCGCGAGATCATGCCCCAAGCGAAAGTCAGACGCAACCGACTAAGCCACCCAGGCGCCCCTGNTAAGACTTCAGTATCTGTTTCCACTGTCTCATTTCTGTTCTATCATTTTCCCACCTCCCATACCAATGATTCTTGTCATACCATGAATCCCACACAGTTTAGACAGAATTACGTTTCCATTTCAAAATGATTAACTTAATCGCTTCTCCAAAGGCTCTATTGACACTTAGAGTAACACATTCAGAGTTTCTAGGGGTTGGGAACGTGTGTGTGGGTGGGATTTGACATGTTCTTCAAGGGGCAGAGAGAGTGAATATATCAGCTACCACAGCCAGAAAAACACAAAGCATGTGAGAGTCCATTCACCTAGAGTAAATCGTATAGAGGGAAAAATTCACACCCCGCATGAAACAAGAGCAGTAGGGGAAGAAAGGCACAGGATCAGTGTATGTCTATTGAGGAAAACAAAGCAGGGCAAAATAAAGGAACGATCCTTAGTCTTAACAGTAAACATAACCCTAGGAACAGAAGAACATTTACATGAAATTTCTGCATGATGTGGAATTGAAACAGCTAGATTGAAGAGAATGAGAGCTCTAAGACGAGAAGTCATGTCAATGCAAACGTATCCAAATGGAGAATGTAGAGGTGAGGACAAAACAAAGACTCGACACAAGGTCAAAACAGGATCAGTAAACAGAGGAGAAGCAGAAAGACATGAGGTTTCCACGTGAAAAACCGGCATCTTGATTGAAGTTTCAGGGGAAGCGATAGGGGCGGCTGGGTGGCTCAGAGGGTTGAGCCCTCTTCCATTGGCTCAGGTCATGATCTAACAGTCTGGGAGTTTGAACCCCGCCTCGGGTTCTAGGCTGACAGCTTAGAGCCGGGAGACTGCTTCAGATTCTGTGTCTCCCTCATTCTCTGCCCCTCCTCCAATCGTGATGTATCTAAATAATAAATAAAAAACGTTAAAAGCATTTAAAAAATAAAGGAAAGAGATCAATGTGTAACTAGAAGACAATGGCAATAAAAAGGCTAAATGATGATACAATTATCAAGAGATTAACAAATAAACCAGATAGTAGTTCAAGGTACAATACAGTAAAATAGCCCCAGAATACAGAAATATTGGAAACCACACAGGAAAAGTACATCTGTTTTCCAGAATAAAAGAGTCTTAGATGAATTTATGACCCCAAGGTTGAGATGTGTATAGAACAGTATAAGATACATTCATACTCTTAAAAGATAAAAGGAATAAGCAAAATCCTTCAGGTATCTTAAGAGAAGGAGCAAGTCACTTGAGAGGGTTAAACCTGAAGCGGGCTTCCCCATTCCAGAAAGTGACCTCTATTGCTTGAAAATCGGAGAACTGGGTCTGCAGATAACGGAAAGGAAGAAGGTGTGAAACTGTGACAGTATTCGTAGCCAAGTTGTTTGGAAGAGAAAGAACATTGGGCAAACAATAACAAATATGTGTCAGAAATTTTATTCAGAAAAACGTGTGCGGGAAGAAACATGCCTAGAAAAGTCAGCTCTGTGACACAGCCAACGCCCAATGGCATGATCAAAGGACACGTGGAAAGATCCTGGCCAAAAGACAGTAGAAGTCTGACTGCAAACTACCGACGGTGAGGACAGGAGTGGGGTGGGAACTCTATGAAAATAGTTTTATCATATTATTGTCTATGAAGAAAGTTTGGGTTTCAGGACCTTCAAGGACCGGGCTCTGGTTACTGCCCCCGATTTCCTGAACCCTGTGGTGTCTTAACTGGGCTCTGAGACTGGCAAAGTGTCGATGGTGTCTCTGCATGATTGTTTCTGATCTCTGTGCTTTTGCCCAAACTCTTCTTACTCTTTTGAAAACTCATACAACATCTGGTGCTTCACTGTTATTGTATTTACTACAGTGTATGGCTACTGGGTCCACTTTTAAGAGTCCCAGTTCAGGAATATCAGTTTGCAGTGAGGACACTACATGGTATATGATAGTGTGTGCTCAGTGTTTTCCTGCAGGGAAAAAAAGCTATACAGCCACATGTAGATAACTATGAAATTTTAAGAGCTAACAGAATTGTCGCAAATACATCATCCATGAGCCTTAACTGAAAAGGCATACGAAAAAATTAATATGAGGATGGAATCCAGCCAATCCAGAGATGATGTTTTAAAAGGCCCCCTAATTTTATGAATATGGTGTAATGGCTGGGGAAGAGCAATGAAACCACTAAAGTATGAATGTACAAGAAAGCAAGTGCAGAGATGACTGTGGCAGAAGAGAATGTAGATTTTTAATATATTTATAAAATAAAAATAGCTATAAACTCTAAAAGACAGAGAGAAGAGGGAAGGGCAGATGTGCTACCTTCATCTTTAAAGGAAGGACTAACTAAGCTGATTCTAAGAATGAAACGTAAAATTACACCTACCTCAATATTTTTAAAATCTTTATTCTTAATCACCAGGTGCAATTTTTTTGTGAAATTGGTTTTATTAATTTATTTATTTGTTTTTGATTCCACAGGAGAGATCATATGGCTTTCTCCTTCTGATTTATTTTACTTAGCATAATGCTCTCGAGGTTCATCCATGTGATTGCAACTGGCAAATATATCTTTGCACGTATAAGAGGATTAGGAGGTACTTAACTGAGGAGCAAAGGGGAGAAGGGAGTAAATGGTGGGGGAAAGGGAGAGAGGCAAACCATGAGAGACTCTTGAATGCTAACAAAACGTGAGGACTGATGGATGTGGGGGGGAGGCGGGATGGGCATGGAGGAGGACACTTGTGGGGGTGAGCACTGGGTGTTCTGTGCAAACTAATTTGACAATAAACTATTTATAAATAAATAAATAAAAATGAAAATGAAAAAAATAAAAAAACAAAAATAAAACATTAAAAATTAAAAAAAAAAGGCAATGAAAATTCTAACTCAAAAAGATACATGCACTCCAGGGTTAATAGCAGTATTATTTACAATAGCCAAGAATTAGAAACAACCTATCTATATGAAATATTAATCAGTCATAAAAAAAAAGTAAGAAACCAGGGGCAATTTAAACATTACTAAATTTGTGTTTATGAAACACAGTTCAACACTGGTAGCTCCGTGTTTCATTTTTTGACAGATTCAAGTACGGCAAAATTTGTATTCTAATAACCATAGGGTCATTCATTTTCTGCAAAGTAACTTCTCTTCCTCTTTCCATCCATTCATTTGTTTATCCATCCATCTACTTGTCTGTCTACTTTTATACAGGTGTACATGAGGGTGTACAACTAGCTTGATCCCCAAGAGATGTGGAAAACCGTTACACTTGCGTAATTTCAAATCACTTTTAAACATATATTTTTTTATTTTTTTATTTATTTTATTTTTTTTGTATTTTTTTATTTTACTTATTTATTTGTTTTTTTTACAAATAGTTTATTGTCAAATTAGTTTCCACATAACACTCAGTGCTCATCCCCACAAGTGTCCTCCTCCATGCCCATCCCCCCTTCCCCCCCACATCCATCAGTCCTCAGTTTTTGTCAGCATTCAAGAGTCTCTCATGGTTTGCCTCTCTCCCTTTCCCCCACCATTTCCGCCCTTCTTCTTCCCCTTGTTCCTCCGTCAAGTTCCTCCTAATCCTCCTATACGTGCAAACATATATTTGTCCATCTCTGCCTGACTTATTTCGCTCAGCATAACACCCTCAAGGTCCATCCATGTTGCTACACATGGCCAGATTTCATTGTTTCTCATTGCCATGTAGTATTCCATGGTATAGATAAACAACATCTTCTTGATCCATTCATCTGTTGATGGACACTTAGCCTCTTTCCATGTTTTAGCTATTGTGGAGAGTGCTGCTATGAACATTGGGGTACATGTGCTCCTATGCCTCAGCATTTCTGTATCCCTTGGGTTAAACATAATTTTTATGAATTTTTGAGGTCCCATTGTATTACGTACACAAAAAACACGAAGCGTATGCTAAAAGTTAAAGACAATAATGCAAATCCCGGGAAAGTAGATTTCAAACTGGGTAATTCCTTTAGCATTCCTTTCTCTGAGAACTTCCTTTTTTGAAAGTCCTTTTCTGAATAACAATTAATAAAATCCTTCAAAGGTTCTAAGTTTTAAAGGAGTTTACGAGGCTGAAATAAACATTTTGATGTGAGTGTACTCTGAAA